CCACCCTCCCACCCCCGCTGCCCCGTTCCCGGTTTCCCGTTCCCGGTTTCCCGTTCCCGGTACCCTGCAGGAGCTGGAAGCGCTGCTCCAGCTGCAGCAGTTTGAAGGCGCTGCGCGCTCTCCAGCCGCCCTCCTTGGCCAGCCGGTAATAAATGTCCCGCTTGTCCTTGGAGGAGCGCCCCATGGCCCTGCAGGGGGACACCCCAAACTGCCGGGGACACCCCGGACACGGGGACACCATTAACGGGACACCCCAAACTGCCGGGGACACCCCGGACACGGGGACACCCCATTAACGGGACACCCCAGAAAGGGGGACAGCCCAGACACGGGGACACTCCAGAAGCGGGGAGAGCCCAGAAACGGGGACACCCCATTAACGGGACACCCCGGGATTGCTGGGGACACCCCATTAACGGGACACCATTAACGGGACACCCCAAACACGGGGACACCCCATTAACGGGGACACCCCATTAACTGGACACCCCAAACACGGGGACACCCCAGAAATGGGATACCATTAATGGGACACCCCGGGACTGCTGGGGACACCCCAAACACAGGGACACCCCAGAAACGGGACACCAGAAACGGGACACCATTAATGGGACAGCCCGGGACTGACGGGGACACCCCATTAACGGGACACCCCAAACACGGGGACATTCCAGAAATGGGACACCCCATTAACGGGACACCCCAAACACGGGGACACCCCAGAAATGGGACACCCCATTAACGGGACACCCCAAACACGGGGACATTCCAGAAATGGGACACCCCATTAACGGGACACCCCAAACACGGGGACACCCCATTAACGGGGACACCCCATTAACTGGACACCCCAAACACGGGGACACCCCAGAAATGGGATACCATTAATGGGACACCCCGGGACTGCTGGGGACACCCCAAACACAGGGACACCCCAGAAACGGGACACCAGAAACGGGACACCATTAATGGGACAGCCCGGGACTGACGGGGACACCCCATTAACGGGACACCCCAAACACGGGGACATTCCAGAAATGGGACACCCCATTAACGGGACACCCCAAACACAGGGACACTCCAGAAACGGGACACCCCAAGCACAGGGACACCATTAACGGGACACCCCAGAAACGGGGACACCCCATTAATGGGACATCCCAAACACAGGGACACCCCAGAAACGGGACACCGTTAATGGGACAGCCCGGGACTGACGGGGACACCCCGTTAACGGGACACCCCAAACTGCCGGGGACACCCCATTAACGGGGACACTCCAGAAGCGGAGACACCGCTCATGGGCGACACCCCGAAACTAACATGGGGACACCCCCGAAGTGACGGGGACACCCCAAACACGGGGACACTGTTAATGGGGGACACCGCTCATGGGAGACACCCCGAAACTAACGGGGACACCCCAAGACTGATGGGGAGGACACCCTGAAACTAACGGGGGGGAGGACACCGCTAATGGGGGACACCCCAAAACAAATGGGGGGGAACACCCCAGAAATGGGGACACCCCATTAACAGGAACACCCCAGAAACGGGGACACCCCAAAAACGGGGGGCACCCGCAAACGTGGACACCACAAACGGGGGGAACCCATAAATGGGGACACCCCATAAAGGGGGGAACCCATAAAAGGGAGGAACCCACAAACGGGAGCACCACAAACGGGGGGAACCCACAAACGGGGGTACCCCCAGCCCCAGCCGGGGCTGTAACACCCCCGCCCGTGGCGCTGCCATCTCCGCACAGTTCGTTATGTGCACGCCCTATTATTTATTTACCGGTTCTGCCGTTTGTTTGTAGGTCCTACCCCAAACAAACCGTTGTTTATGTGGGGGGGCACACACAAATGGGGGGTTCCAGGGAGATCCGTGGCTCCCACACCCTCGAGTTACGGGGGCTGCCCAGGGGCTGCTCACACCATTACAAACCCCTCAAATCCCATTAACTGAGTTCGCGTTATTTTTTAATTAAATTTTACATTCACCACAAACCCTCACCGAGCCACTGCGCATGCGCCGCCTCGGCGTCACCGCCCCCGCCGGCGCAACCGCCGCGCACGCGCAGCCCCGCCCACCCCGGCGCGCGCGGCTCCCCCTCCCCCTCACAACCTTCCC